ACCTACTCCTACCCGACCCCGAGCCAGCCCATCACCACGCCGCAGTACCACCAGCTGCAGGCCAGCACCACCCCGCAGTCTGCCCAGCCTCAGCCCCAGCCCTCCTCCAGCTCCCGGCAACGGCAGCAGCAGCCAAAGTAAGTACACAGCTCGTGTTCCCGACCAGGGTAGCAGCAGGGGCAGGTGCGCCAGATCCTGACAGCCGGAACCCAGGTGATATCCCCGGGGCAGTGGTTTCGGGCGAAGGAAAAGAGGGCTGTGTAGCAGCTGGCCACAGGTGTGAGGTCCCTTTTGCAAGGGTGGGTGCTGCACCAATGACTGTAGGAGGTCTTTCTCCTAGTGAGCCCCAATCTCACCTCTTCCAGGTCTAACAGCCATGCAGCCATCGACTGGGGTAAGATGGCAGAGCAGTGGCTGCAGGAGAAGGAGGCAGAACGGCGGAAACAGAAGCAGCGACTGACGCCTCGGCCCTCCCCCAGCCCCATGATCGAGAGCACCCCCATGTCCATTGCTGGCGATGCTACTCCACTCCTGGATGAGATGGATCGGTAGGGGGCCGGCTCCTCGGACTCTGGTTACCTCTGAGACTGGAGAGGCCTAGCCACCCACTGCCTCCTTCCCTGCCCCTCCTTTTCTGTCCATAAAGTGGCGTGAAGTGACGTTCTCTTTGGTGGTCAGCCTGGATGGGTGACAGGCTGGATGACTTTGCGAACTTGAGCTCAGTGTACGCTCGGTGACAGTTCTCCCGCTCCAGACCCTTGCCGACCACCTGCCCTGGGACCAGGCTGGGAGGGGAGTGTTGCAAGGAGGAAGAGGAAGATGAGAGTGGAACAGCTTTGTATTCTGCTCCCTATAAGCCATTTTGAGCTTCTGCCCTCACCTGATGGGCTGTGACCAGAGCACCAAGCTCAGCACGAGTCCCCCCACTGCTCTCGGGGGGAGAGGGATGCTATTTATTCAGTTTGGGGCAGGAAGAAGGGGGAAAGTATTTCTGACCCTGATGCCAACAGCGTGGGTGGCTGTCAAAGCAGGATTGCAGGGGACAGAGGGGGTAGGGCTAACCTGCCCAGCCCCTGCCTGGCCATCCTCCCCACCTGCTGCTGCTGCTTCCTGCCTGTCATTTGAATAAACAGTGTTTCTACAGAGCTCTTGCCAAAGCTTCTCTCTTCAACTCTCCAGCTCTTTGAGGGGTGGCTTTCAAAGGAGTGTCTGGAGCTCCAGAGAGCCCAATTCCCTCTTCGATCCACCAGAGATGCGACACTCAGGAGAGCCGGCGGCTCCTGCATCAGACTTCCAGCCTGCATCCGTGTGAGCTCTGCTGTCTTCGCGTGGGCTGTTCGCTGTAAACAGGCAGTCCCTGCCTCAGGAGCCGAAGACCACTGTGGCAGTGTGAGCGGCAGGCCTGCTCCTGGTACTGAGAGCCCGCCCACACGCTCACAGCTACCTGCTCACTGGGCCAGCCTCGGCTGCTGTGGCATGTTGGAGCGCGGCCACAGCTGACCCAGGGCTTTTCAACTGAAGCCCCCGTGCCTAGGCCTCGTTCTCCGACGACCTCTAAACTACACAAGTCAGGTGTTTCTGCCCAGAACGGGTCCCACTCTCCACTGCTCCCACACACACCGACCCTAGGGAAAGCTGGGATGCGACAAGCCAGTCCGTGTCCCCACCCCCATTTCCGGCTCAGGACCAGCCAGCCCACTGCCCTTTCTGTTCTGGATGTCATCCCTTGCTTCTTCACAAGGGCTTCACTTCAGCTCAGTTTTCTGAGTCCGCACTGGTAGAGTAAGGCCTCCCTCCCACTCCCCTTCCTCTGCGTGGGAGAGGCCAGAAGAGGCCCCCGTCACCCAGCAATGGGGAGCCCCTCAGGCTTTCCTTCATTTCTTTCTCACTGTCGGCAAGCACTGCGGAAAGGGCTGGCCTTCTGCCAGGAACTCCGTTCTGTTTTCTTCAGCACAAAGGGTCTGCCAGGCTCTAGCAGGAGCAGGACCACATTAGCTGGAAAGGTCATGTCCCCGTGGGGCCACACACCTTCCCCAGGGCCACTCAGAGGAACAGGCCAGGCACTGTGGCAGGAGTGGGTGAAAGCTTCAGTTTATTGGGGAGTCACTGCAGGCAGACCCTGCCTGTCCCAGGAGTGGGTCTCACTCAGCTCAGTGTCCCAGGAGGGAAGGTCCTCCCCACCCACGCCACCCAGCGGCACTCTCCTGTCCGTCCTAGGATGTGCCCCTTCCTCTCCTCCCACCTGCCCTCCCATGTCCTTCCCAAACCACAGCAGCCCCCACCCCCCCAAAAAAAGGAGCCTAAAGGTAGGGGGAGAGAAGAGCAGCAGGGCTCAGCTACAGGCTTGATGGCATTTATTCTTCACCTGGTTGCCCTGGCCTCAACTGAGATTGGGGTTTGATGCTGGGGGAGATTTCCTCTTGGTGACCTTCCTGGCTTGTGGGGTCTTTGCCCCGTTCTTCTTAACCGGGCTGGTGTTCTTCTCTCTCTTCCTGGGTGATGAAGAAGACTCCACGATATCCTCGCTGGAGGGTTCTTCCTGCCGGGGGTCATTGTAACTGTCCTCACTCTCCAGCTCTTCCCGGCTTTCGGGGCTGGACTCTGACATCCTAGCCAACCTCCTCGGGCTTAACGAGCGGCTCAAGTCTGGAGGTGAAGACTCAGATTTCACCGGGCTCCTCTTCTTAGTCAGCTTGCCCTTCTTGGCTTTTTTCTTCAGCTTTGCCTTCTCATCCGTGTCCTCCTCCTTGTCTCTCTCTCTCTCTTTTTCCTTTTTCTTCTTTACCTTCTTGATCACCTTGCTGCCCTGGTTCTTCCCCGTGGGACTCTCAGAGCGCCAGATGGTGATGGGAGCTGCCGAGTCCAGGGCCCCGGTGACCGTGCCGGTGCCTGGCTCAGTGGGTGTGGTGGTGGGCCCCACCTGGGTCGGGATGGGCGGCTTGCTTTCTTCCTCCTCTTCATTTAAGTCATCTGTCCCACACTCGTGGTGGAGGGGATGATGGATCACTGCCACGGAGACAGGCCTGTAGCTTTTGCACCTGGGAGGAGGGGAAGAAGCAGTTGACAGAGTTGGGCGGTGCCCCGGAGAGCCCTCCACTCAGCCCGCTGTCACTCACCAGCCGTACCAGAACCTCTCCACACTCTCCTCCTCGGGGACCAGCTCGAAGCAAGGGGACTGGATGATGTTCAAGCAGGTCGGGCCAGGGTCTCGGGAGCTGCTGCTATTTGTCTTCTCTGAGCAGTCCTTCAGCCTGCCACACAGGGACCCTCAGCCTGGCTCCCACATCGCTCTCCCCCCGGGGGGCAGCCAGAGCAAGAAGCCTAAGAGACAGCAGGCTTCTGCCGGGCCGCCCATGCCAGACCTCCCCGCTGCTCTGAGCAGAGCTGGCTTCCCAAGGCTGGGTCTGAGCTGGCAGCACAGGTCAGAGCACGGTGAAAGATGGCCTGGCTCTGCCGTGGGGCCCCCAGGAGAGGGCCCTACCTAGAATCGCAGTCGCAGTGGCTGACAGCATGCAGGTGCAGACTATGGTGGCCGTAGTCAGAGCGGAAGGGGTAGATGATGTGCCCGGTGCACGGCGTGTGTTTCCAGCAGCACCTGTCAGTCTCCTTGTGTTCACCTGCGGGAGGGCCGGGTCACTCAGGCGACAGCTCAATGTCAGGCCTGGCCACTGCCCCCCAGCCCTGCACCTGGCTCTGCTTCAGTCGTGGTCACTCCAGATCCCAGCGCTGCCCTTTCCCCTGCCCGCAGCAGGAACCCGCCTTCCCCCTGCAGACTCACAGCCAAGTCTGATACACAGGAGGCCCTCACCCGGCCCGTGCTGTCCTGGGGCACCCTGCCACTTCCCTCCCCACTCCTGTGGGAACCTGCCCTGCCAGACCCTCCGCTGACTCCTGCCTGCCTCACACAGCTGCCCTCTCCATGAGGCGCCCTGGCAGGGGAAGGCCTCTCACCATGGCTCACCACAGGGCCACGTGCGCCTGTCCTGCCCTGCTCCTGGCCGGGAGGCCCCGTCTGACCCGCAGCCTCAGAGGCCTGTGGTGCCCTGGTGTCCTATGGGAGTGCAGCCTCACCCTGCGCCGTGCTCCTGGGCTTCTGACTGGGACGCCTCCCTCTCTCCCTTCCTTTCTCCTCAGCTCTTTCTGCTCCCTCTTGACCTGTCTCAGGTCTCCCTTTCCCTCAATGCTTGCCCTTCTCTTCTCATCAGGTTCCCATTCTCTCTCCCCAGTCCCTCAAGTCACAGATTTCTGATCAACCGCCCCCTTTCAGGCAGCACAGATTCCTTGTCCCCTTTCCCAGGGCACAGGGAGAGGCCGCTGGGGCCAGAATGGGGTTGATAAAGCTTTGAAGAAGCCTCCTCCTCTCTTACTCGGCTGAATGCCGACGGGAGTTCCGCAAGCCCACCTCTGACCTGCCTAAGGCCCCAGCCCACCATGGCCTCCCCTTTGGCCACCTTCTAAAAGGCCACTCCTCGGGGCCTGTCAGCCTGAGGCCAAGACTGCACACCAGGCAGGGAAGGGGCCGCACTGCAGGCTCCCCTGGGACAGCAGCTCCACCCACCCAGGGGCTCTGTGCTGGAGCTGGCAAACTCCCTCAACAGGCCATGAGGACTGCGCCTTTGTCCAGCCGCTACACAGTGCAATCGGGGCAAGGTCTCATGCTGGCCGCCAGCCAGGGATTACCCAGGTCATGGCTGTTAGTCCCGGCAGCTTTAAAGGGCCCAAGAAGAGAGAGCAGCGGGGTCTGAGGCCTACCCCACATTCCTCTGCCCTTCCCTCCCAAGGCTGTGAGGGGCCAGGTCCCCACCACACCCCTGACCCACTTGGTAATCCCTTTTCCTGCTTCCTCCTCCAGTGCCCTCTCTGTCCCTGGGGGGAGAAGGCAGGCATGTGTGGCAGGACCTTGGAACACACCAGCTCCTTGGGTTCCTGCAGTGCTGAACTGGGGCAAAGTGCAGCCGGGTGGTCAGTGCCCTGAGCTTGCAGTAAGACAGGCCCTGAGTTCAAGTCTTGGCTGTCACTAGCTGGGTGACCTAGAGCAAATGACTTCTCCGAGCCTGTGTTTCTTTATCCACTAAATGCGATGGTGGCCATACCTCGTGTTCAGGGTTATGGGCAGGCCTTGATTCGAATGTGTAAGATATTTGTGCACATAAAGTGCCATCCAAAGCAAGGGTGATTGTGACCCGAGAAAGGAGTGCTCTCTGGCTCTGGCACCTGCAGGAGATTGGGATGGGGTGGGGCAGCCAGGTAACCCCTTCGGGACCAAACACTTCCTCCCCTTCACTAGGTGTCAGCTCTCCCAGATGAGAGGGCTGGGAGGGCCCCCTGGGCCAGGGTCCCCTGGACCCACCTTCAGAGGAGAAGGTAGACGCATCGGTGCTGGACGCCACGCCAGTCAGCAGGTGTCCTCTCTCCCAGCTGGGCAACCTGTTTATATCTGAGAGAGTACAGAGTGGCAGTGGCGGCCGCCCTTCCCGTGCATTCACCAGACACTTCCTGAGAAGCCCCAGGTCTCGGGTCCCAGCTGCATCCTAGGGATGCAGAGACTTTAAACACAGCAGGGGGCACAGACGATGTCTGGGGTGGCCCAGCACAGCAAAAAGATGCCGCTCTGTCAGGCTGACCTGAGTGAGAAGGTTCCGGGTTCACATCTGCAGATCCTTCCACCCCCAAGTATGCCACGCACACACATGCCCATCTGGCTGGCTGAACTGAGGGTGGAGACCCTGTTAGAGATGGTCTCCCTCTCTCTCCTTCTCTCTGTCTCACTCAAGAAAGAAATAAACTTAAAAACAATGATAATTGGGACCAGCAGTTGGTTTAATGGCTATGTCGCTAGACCCCCATGTAGTTGACCACGGTTCGAGTCCCGGACCTGATGGCTTAAATTCACGCCGGGCACATGTGTGTGTATGCCCAAGATCCAGAGAAGAATGGAGGAGAAGGGATTGCGGCATGGCCATCCCCTCCAGGGGGTGATTTCTTGCTTTCTGTCTCTCTGTCTGTCTGGCGAGCACACGTGCCCTATAGCAAAAACCTCTCAAAAAAAAAAAAAAAAAAAAAAAAACCACAAAAACAATAACAGTCCTAGCTCTCAAAGGGCTGGGAGAGGTTCATGCCACTAGGGCATGCAGACACTGAGGGCAATGGTGGGGCACAGAGCAAGGGCCACCTACCAGGACTGGGTGGGGGACAGGAGATTATGAAAGATCCTTAAAAGGAGCATCATTTGGAGCTGGAGTGACAAACAGAAGTGAGACAGAGTCTAAGCAAGGAGGGGTGGCTCCAGAAATTGTCCCAGGGTGTGTGCAGCCTGTCAGAGAGTAGCCCTAAGTAGACCCCCAAATGGGTGGCAGATGCCCCCGCCATCAGCAGAGGGTAGAGTCCACCACCTTTCTGTCCCAGCTAGCTTTGTCCTTTGAGGCACTGACTGCAGCCCTGCTCAAGGAAGGGGAGCTGGTTGCTAGGGGCCTTCAGTGGCTTTCAGTGGCACTTGATCATCCTCCTCCAGGTCCCTGGTGAGCTGCTGTTTTGCATAGCACGGCAAGTACTCGAAATTTACTCAGTGCACGAGTGAATGAACAAATGACTGTGAGCGCTTCCGGAGAGTCCTGTACCGCTGCTGTTCCTCTCAGCAGATCATTTCACCAGCACCATCCGTGGATGCGCCTACCCTCATCACCTCCTCCAGCCTAGGGAAGGGTGTCCCTGCCTCCTCCCGGCCAAAGCATATGTACTCGAGGTCCCAGTCGGAATGTCACCCTCCTACTCTACTGGCTTTTTCCCTCTACAGGCTATGAACATATTTTGTTTAAATACATTCTCTTGGGGCCAGCAGGTGGCATAGTGGTTAAGGCGCTGGACACTCCCACATGACCAACCATGGTTGGAGTCCCAGATCTGGTGGCTTGCTTTCTCACTTTCCTTCTCTCTGTGTGTGTGTCTCTCTCTGGTCAAATTAAATAATAATAATAATAATGAATGAATGAGTAAATAAAATTAAATAGTTTTTTTTTAATTCTCAACCCTATTTCTCCCTCTACCACGTATCTCTCCCTCTTCCTTTTCAGCCCCTTCATTCAAAAGATGTGTCTGGATAGCTTCACTAGGCACCGGTGGCTCCCTTCAGAGAGTCAGAGTCTCCACCTCTTTTTACTCCCACTACTTGTAAGATATATGTACACCACCTATGTGACAGCCAGTGACATGCTGAGTGCATATGTTTGTGTGCCCCAAATCCTGACACGATGGAGAAATGGAGAAGGGATTGCAGTGTGAACATGGCCCCTGGCCCATTTAGGGGTAGTTCTGACCTCTCCTTCACTCTCTGGCGAGCTCATGCATCTTCTGGCTAGTAAAATATGCCTTTGATTCTAAATCCCCACCATAGTCCCAGTCTATGGATGGGAACTCAGAGACTCAACAAGGATAATAGCTTGCCCAGAGACACAAGTTAACAGGTGGCACAGGTCGGAGTATCCCTAATTAGACCTCCAAGTGGGGCGGCTGATCCCTCCCGCCATCAACTACAGGGTAGAGTCTGCCACTTGCCCTTCCTTCCCAGTTAGCTTTGTCCTTTGAGGCACTGGACTCCAGCCCTACTTAAGGAAGGGAAGCTACTGCTTGAGGTATGCAGTAGGCCCTGAGGGACAGGTCCCCGGTGAGCTCCTTCAAACCCAGGGCTTCCTGGCTCTGTAGCCTGTGCTCTTGCAGTTTACTCACACATGCCAACAAAGGGTTACTTTATATGTCATGAGCTCCACAGCTGTCTTCGGCCACACTCAGCTCCATATCCAAAACCTGTCCTTCCAGCTGTCACCTCCTACACCTGCTTTTCTTTCTTTCTTTTTAATTAATTACTTGGGACCAGCAGATGGTATAATAGTTGCGTCGTTGGACTCTCACATAGGTGACTGCAGTTCAAGTACCAGACCCAGCAGCTTAGACACACACCAAGCACGTGTGCGTGCATGCATGCCCAAAATCCCAAGAGGATTTTGGAGAAGGGATTGCACATGGCTATCCCCCAGGGGGGTGATTTTTCGCTTTCTATCTCTCTGTCTCTGTTTCTCCGGTGAGTGCATGCACCCGATACCAAAAATCTCTCTCTATAAAAGAAATTAGGAGCTGGTAGGTGGTGTAGTGGTTAAGGGCACTGGATTCTCACATGGCTGACTACTGTTTGAGTCCCAGACCTGGTGGCTTGCTTTCTCACTTTCCCTCTCTCTCACTATGTCCCTCTCTGGTCAAATTTAAATAAATAAATAAAATAAAGTCCAATAAGATAATTCCTTTAAATAATTAATCAATCTATTTATTTGTTGTGGTTTTCAAGCTGCCAGGTCCAGGACTTGAACCATGGTTGAAACTGTAGTTCAAGTCCAGTACCTGGCACCACACCACTTGCTGACCCCTACACCTGCTCTTCAATTCCATTATGGCCATTTTTTTATTTTAATAGATTTTTGTTATAGGGCATGTGTGCTCGCCAGAAAGACAGAGAGACCGAAAGTGAGAAATCACCCTCCAGGGGGGATGACCATGCCACCTGCAATCCCTTCTCCTCCATTCTCCTTTCAGGATCTTGGGCACACGCGCCCGGTGTGAGTTTAAGCCACCAGGTTCAGGACTCGAACCATGGTTGACTACATGGGAGTCCAGCAACATAGCCATTACGCCAACTGCTGGTCCCCATCATAGCCAATTATTCACCCTCAGGTTTTACTCAATCCTGACTCCACAGCCTCTCTTGTCCAGCTTGGACCCTAAGATCATGCCTTAGAAGCCTGAGCCAGGGTCAGGAATCAATCTGTTCTCTCTGACTTAATTGGCCTTGCTCTATCTGGTCCAAGTACAACTGGTCCATGGTCTTTCTTGAACCATGAAAAAGGCCCATATGCAGGACAAGAACCTATTTTCCACTAACGCCTCTGACAAGCCCTGACAACCATCAACTCTATATGTGAAGGGAGGAGAGAAGGAAAACCAAAAGGAGGAGGAATTTGCTGGCTTTCCAGATCTGAGAAAGGCAACTGCTCTTTAATTTCAGAGTCCTGCAGCAAGAGTGATTGGGGTTGGGCAAAGAATGGACTTCAGAATGAATAAGTAAGGTGATGACTTGAAAGGAAGTCCTCTTCCTTTCAAAGACCACGTGGTCTTTGTGGGTGGGGCATTAATCAAACTCACAGGTGATGCTCATTTGTACAGAATCTTCCCCGTCCTGAAGACCCAGGGGCTCCCCTGGCCTTGGCGGCACAGGGGGTTAGACACCAGAGCAGCCGAATAGGGAAGGGAGGGAAGGATAAAGGAAGGGAGGGAAGAACCAAGGAAGGGAAGGAGAGAGAAGGGAACAAGGGAGGGGCACTGCGCCCTCGTCGCCTTAGAAATGCCGTCCGGCTCCGCCCCCATCTGGAGGTGATTATGATGTCACGCGTGGAACTCCCCGGACTCCTTCTCCCCCTCGGGGTCAATGGAAACGATCGCTCCAGCCCCGACGCGGGGGTGGGCGCTGAACCATGGCCTCCAGCTAAGCCCCACGCCTCGACGGGGGTGACCTAGGCCGCGGCTAGGGCACTGTGGAGCCTCCTGGTCCTCCACCGCTCGAGGCCCCAGCCTAAGTAGCAGGCGATCTCCAGGGTCTCAGGACCCCAGTCCTCAATCATTGGTCCGCGGCTCGACGTGAGCCCGCCCCCAGGGCCTAACCCCGCCCCACCGGGCCCTTAGCCCCGCCTCCCTCGTCAGCATCCCAGCCTCCCGTCCCACCACGACCTGGGGGCTCAAGCCAGCCCCTGCCCCGCCCCTCCTTACCCCTGCTCTCGCTCTCCTCCCAGTCGTTGGCCTCGCTGTCAGTCTCCTCCTGCGTCCATCTCTCAATCGTTAGTGTCGTCCTGACCCACATCGCTCTCAGCCTAGTTCTCCGTCTCTACCTGCCTCTTCCTCGCAGAAGTTCAACCCTGAACCTCGGCTTTGCACCCGCCTCCCCCCTCCCCGCTCTAGGCCGCGTGGTCTGCCCTGCCAGGTCTGAGCGTCAGCCGCGTTCTTCATCCGGGACCTTCCAGCTCCTTCCAGGCTCCTCTTTGTCCCACCTTTAGGCCTGGTGCTTCCCCTTTACCTCAGGCCTAAACCTCACAGGGCCAGGCCTCAGTCCCATCCCTAGTTCCTCTCCAGACCCGGCTTAGTCTCGCCCCTAAATCTTAACCCCGGCCCCAAACCGGAGCCCCCAATTCTTACTCCCACGCCTAGCCCCGCCCCCA